CAATCTGAACACCAAAGTAACACAAATTTTTAGGTTCTTGGTACTGCGAATTTAGTTTTTTCCAAACATCCTCATTCCCTAAAAAAATCTGTGTTTAAATGAGTCTTTTGTAATGTTCAATCTGAAACCAATGTAACTGCTTAAAGACTTTGTATTTGACAAAGGTCTAAAACATCCATGCTGAAGGAATAGTGAAATTTGAACAGATTAAAACGGTTATTACTCCAGATTAACAATTCAGAAACCCTATTTCAGTTTATTTTATGGATAGGATTACTTAACAAGTTACACCTTTAAAATTAACTTTTAATATTCACAATTTTCAACAAAAATGGTAAATACAGTAATGGCTGTACTTTTTGAAGTGCTAACACAGAACGACACGGTGAGCCCACAGTAGTTGGTACTAAAACTTTGTCTACTCTAAACAGCTACAATGACAAAGCATGGGAAAGTATAAGATTAACATTTAAAGCTAGTTTTAAAACTGAAATTCTAGAAATGGAAAGTGATCCATGTCATCAAATGCACAAATTGAATGTAATCTGCTTTACAGAAAGCAGCACAGAAAGCCAGCCACATGAATGTCTTGACTTTAATGAATTTCAATCCAAATATATAAAAAAGGAAGCTCAACATAAGGCCATGAGAAATCTTTGCAACTTGACAAATTTCAAGTCTGTCAAAAGGACCAGGCCATAAATATTAATTCTATTTACAACTTATTTTGATTCTAAATTTTTCAATTGATTTAGCACCAGCAGCAACATGCAAAGTAGCACTACAGTTTTCCCCATTTGAATGGCTTTTTTTAAAGAATCTTGGGGCAAAATGTTTCATTACTGCTAAGAGTAGTTCCCATTTAAACCAACAGACTACTTAGCAACTAAGACAAGCAGGATTTGGTAGTCAGTGTTACAATAATACAGTGATACATGTCAGAGATTTAAGAAGGTAAACTCATCTTGGAAAACAGGCTTGTTTGCAGACTTTATGTTCTTTATCTTCAAGTCTTCTTTAAAGGTATTATTAAATTTTAGAATACTGGTAACAATATTTGGAATATATTAACAAGAAAAGCCAGATACAACTGATCAAGAGAGTTTAGTAATATGCACTTAAGTGTTTTGTGGACTGTAAGTGGGGAAATTATCGCTCTGTGCTGTGAGAAGGCATTTTAGTGCCCCCCCATCAGCTCCATATCAAACACAAACTTCCATACACTTGATTAAGTCTTTGCAGACAATTAACCCACCAACTCTATTCTTAATGAGCTGAAAATTTCCTGTGTCACTGTGCTTTAGCCTGAAGGGGAAGAATTTTATCAAAATTTAACTTCAACTGTATTTATCAAACGTGCTTGTTGACTTATTACTGTAAAAGACACAGCTAGGTAATACTTAGTATGACCCTCAATATTTTGTGTAAATTCCTTAATCCAAACAAAACCCAACAACTCTACACATTGCAGGTTTTCTAAATACCCGTATGTGGGAAAGATGGAGAAATCTCTGTTTCATAAGGAGAACATGAACATAAGAAATAGCCAGCTTGACTGCACATTAAATTAGATGCAGGAGAAAGTGGGTTACACCTATTTAGCTGCACTGGTTCAACCTCAATACTTCTGTTTTTCTTAAAGTAATCAGTAACAAGACCATCTTGTCTCCAATTCTGTTATGAACTAAACTAATCTGTCTCCTTAGGATACCAACAATTCATTTACAGAGGATTTATAATGAATGAGATATTTACAAAACAGTAAAGGCATAAAAGAAAGATTATATGATGAATAAACATAATAAGACACTGATTAGTCTTTCAAGAGCACAACTTTGCTCTAAGTGCAAGCACCTTGAAATACTTTCAAATGTTAAACTCCCACAGCTATCCTAAAACATTAGGAAATATAAGTTATTGCCACAGTTATTTGGAATGGGCCAGCTTCTTAAAAAAACACTTCCAAAAATGTGGTGCTTTATTAAATATCTACACTGGTTCAGGTAGAATATAAAAAATTGTAATATAACAAAGGCTGTTTATTCTCCTCACACTAAAAAGGCAAGGAATACCTTACATGTATATACAAGACGTGTACTACCAACCACCTGAATGCAATAGGAATAGAACCTCTCAATACAACTAATACACAGGCAAAAGTATTATTGAAGAACCAGAATTGTTAAACATTTCTTAAGTATCCCTTAGAGATTGAAAATGGGTAAACAGCCTGGCTTCCAACTCTCTTAATACCAAAAATTTAAATAGCACTGCATATGGTATTGATGCTTCATAAGTGCTTTGTTGCTGGATGCATGTCACTGCAAGCAAAACTCTTAATGACAAAAAAGGGAAAACTGATCTGTTCAGAGTCTTTACATTCCCAGATTCTAAATGGAATGATGCTTTATAGAAAAGTTGTTTATACAAGTGGCAATACTATTAGATTCACTAAGAAAAGACTTAACAGAAAAACGTAATGCCAGTATTCTAGATTTGGTCTTAAACTTAAAGGTCCAAAATATGTAGCAAAAAGGAGTTCCTTAAAGTGCAGTTACCTTAAGCCCAACTAGAAAGGTGCGGAGAGTGGTTAGAGGTTTGTTAGCCATACCAACCAGTCTATGATATCTTCATATAAAAATGAAGCATCCAGAAACAGCCTGTACTTGTGGAGTGAAAAACAAACATCATTGCAGAGAGACAATGGCATGCTAAACATTTTGACATAATGCATGGACAAATCCAAATGGGAGGGAGGGGAGACAAACTGGTAGGCATAACTACTCCAACAAAAGTAGACTAGCTTGCCATGAAGATGGGAGGCCACAAAGCTCATACTGTCTTCTTGACTGGTCTAGCGGATCATCAAAAATGCTGATACAATTATTGTCCACGTCTACAGTAAACAGTCTGGGGTGACAAAAGTATTACTGGCGCCAAGAATGCTCTTACATGAAGTTGCAGTGCCAGCAAAACTAACATCATTGGCACCATGTGAGAAACTGACGGCACTCGTCTGGCTGCTTGATCTGAGACCCGCTACATTGAGAATGAACTTTGCCTTTTTCTTTCAAGTGGAAAACCTCTACTTGAAGAAAGTGGTTCCCTCTTTGAGAAGTCAGCAGTAGCCATGAGGATCCACAAGCTTGCAAAGAAAGTTGTTGCACTTCTTCTGCTATAGCATGTGACCGCTTGTTTGAGTTCCTTCACTGTAAGGAAACTCCAAGTAGCATTGAGACAAAGGAATGCCAAATGTGAAGGTAAAAGCATTGAAGAAAGAAATTAATCTACTTCAGCAATTCAATCTAAAGGGAGCCCTGGCAAGGTTCTTTTGGTCTGTATACAGGTACAGGTCTAGATGAAGAAATTTAAAGCTACTTTCATTTGTACTTACAATGCTTAGTGATCCCACTAAAGGTACAATCCATCTTTGGAAACTCTTGGATGACAAAAAGGTATGTTTGTAAGTTTTTGAAAAAAAATCACTAAATAAACCTCAGCAACTATGCCTGAACACTCTCCAGCAAAAAAAAAACAAAAAAACAAAAAACGAGTAACCCTCTGTTAGGATGGATCTCAAGGGATGCACTTATAGGAGGGCTAGAAAGCGTTGCTGGTAGTCTGTGGGAGAATGGTGTGGCGGTAAGAAGAAAAAACAACTGAATTATGCTGAAGGAACTAAAAAAAGGCCAGCCAGACTTTTTCCAGAGTTGAAGGCAAGAAATATATAAAGGTAGGACATGCATCGTATTTCTCATAAGAAATACTAATAGCATATATGCAATACAGCTATTCAAGAATTACTTATGAATTTATTCCGGTGTCCATGTTAACTTCAAAAATGTATCATAGGCTACATCAAATTAATACTTCTTGAATTTACAAAGGTCATTTCTCTCAGACTGCCTTGCTACAGAACTGGAAAAAGAATATTTTAGCTAAACTTACTTTCAATATCTTCAGATCAAAATATACAATCTACTTCTAAATATTGCTTCAAAAGCAACTCCATTTTATGCTCCAGTAGTACAGGATGTATATGGAAGAAGTAATCTATGACAACGGATATGGACTAGCTAAAGTGTTTCTTGCCAAACTGCATGACATGATGCTGAAGTACTAAGTCTCCATCCCTCAGAAAGGCAAGCATCTGGGGTGTGAAACTTTGTATCAGGCTAATACAACCTGCAGAAAAATAAGTCTTCAAATAATCTCTCTGTGAAAAGTTCATAGAAGAAACAAGTCTAAATTACTTCTTCCTACTACTGGCTGTTAATTCAAACTAACTAAGCTACTAGATTTTACACTCAGTCATGGTAAAACCTCTCGCAACTTTCATAAGGACACACTTTACCCAAGCTGTACCAACTTGCTTCATAGATTGATGCTGCCTTCGCTCAATGATAAGCATAGTTCTAGAAATGATTCTATTTCTTTCCAGACTGAAGCCTCAATTTAAAAGTCTTCACAATGGAAATTTTGCTTAGGTACTCAGCAGCAATGACAAACTATGTTTGAAGTTGGCATTGCTCTGGGTTGAATGAAATGGCCTCCTTCTCAGCCCTATAAGAGTCACTGCACTTCAGGCCTTAGGAAATTTTTATAGAGTTCAACTAAAAAAAACAACAAAAACAAAACAAACACCCAAAACCTCAGAAAGAGTAATTTTTTACTTACTATTTTCAGTCCCCTCTATGCACATTATGTGGAAAGGTAATGTGGCTAAGAAGTTCAGATGCTGCTGTAATGCAACATAGCAATGTTCTGGAATACTTACTCATTTACTTGATTTAGAGTCATATCCATTTAAAAAACAGGTTTAATTCCAACATATCAATGAGTTCTTGTCAGATATAGCTTTTTATGCATATACAGGAAATACTTAACATTAATTTACTGCAAAATTGGGTATTTCTTCTGAGGTACACTAAAAAAAAAAAAAAAAAAAAAATACCTAAAAAACCGAATTGAAAAAAAAAAAAAAAAAAAAAAAAAAAAAAAAAAAATACCCTGACATACATAGCTGGCTTGACTTCTGACATGGTCTTTCCAGTCTAAAGCCTTTATCTCCTGGCTGCAGCAACACTTCTCACAGTAAAACAACTATTGTAAAATTTAAAATAGTCTGAGAACACAGTATGTAGACAAAACAAAGGCTAGTCTCAGAATATGGAGTTTATCCCAAGGCCACAGTTTGCAATAATGGGAATTGTTTAACAAAGTATACTAAACACTGGTCCTTTTGACTCTGCAATACAAACTCTGGAGCTACAAAAAACAAACTTCCAATTCAAAACAAGATAAATTAAAATCATCCACCTAGATTTGAGACTGACTTATTAGAAGTGAAATATCTTGTTTAAGATTAATGAAATGAAGGACTAAATGTTTTCAAATTGGTAGAGCAGGGATAGAATTTGTACAAGCTTCCTCACAAAGATATGCCAAAGCAACAGAATTACAAGCTGTAATAATTTTAGTCCCAGGCCTCTTTTGGGTAGATATACTCTGCAGGTTTTGTGGTGATTTTCACAAGTAGAGGAGAATGAAATCAAAATTTTGTGATTTAGAATGTAAGGTCATGGAATTTTGGATGTCAGATGCCTTTTTTAAAGGCTTGCTGTTCCTTGAATCATGAACCTAATCCAAAGGGATCTTCCCAAAATACCATATCTACCTTTCAATAAATGAATTGAACAAATGTAAAGCTTCACAAGAGTACAGATATGTGGAAATGCAGCAGTAGCTGCCCTTTTCTGTATTTTCACTTAATATATTTGCTAAAAAACAAGTTAGATTTTTTTCCCATTAGACATTACAATTCTGCAATTAATATGTTTCATTAAGTGCTGTAACACTTTATGCAGTCCTTATACTGAGAAATGATCTTCTACACTACATAGCTTAGCTTTCTGTTGATGGCACTTTGGTGTTTTCAGGTCAATTGTCTTAAACATACAATTCTGCTCTTAGTACAATGCAGTAGTGAGACAAAAAAACAATCATCAAAATAAACCACTTTCACCAGATTATCTACAAAAGATATTTGCTTAGCACTAAAGCTTCATGTTTAAGTCCACACTATTGTAAGTGATGGACACTTAAAAGAGCTGGAATTCTCTTTTGGAAGCTTGTTTTTCAGAGGATGTATTGCATATTACAAGTTCAAAACTGGCTACAAGCACTGGAGATAAGGCAAAACCCACTGGTATTTCACTTAAAAATGCCTTACACAGCAAGTTCCCACTTCCTTAATATGGTAACATCCAGCAGTTTACCACTTAAATTTAAAAAGAACTGCAGCAAAACTGCTGCTTTTTTTCCTTTGGTTCCCGTTGACTTAAACAATGTAGTAATAATGCCAACCAGGTGGAAAACAATTCAGTGTAGTGGCATCTGGTACTTCAGCTGAAATTCGGCAATCCAAGAAGAGCACCAACAGCACCAAAGTATCCCTATTAAAAAAAAAAAAAAAAAAAAAAGCTGTCATTCCAAGTTTCAGCTACCACATTAAAATTCAGCATTCAGAAATACCTTTTTTAGCCACAGAAAGGTACTTGGAAGGCCCACAGTAAGTATGAAGAATAACATACATTTGAAATATACTGCCTTTTATCTGAAGTACTAAAAACGTAAAAAAACAAAGTATTTAATTTTGTAAATAGCTAGCATGCCCTGGTTAACTCCCTCCCCCCGCCCCCCACTAAAGCCCATATATTACTGAAAACTATTAATTTTTTTCATTTGTTTGTAATAACAGCTAGTGTATTTCTAAGGCACATATCAGTAGTATCTGAGCACATATACCAAAACCAAAGGCTTTTGAGAAGAGCCTACAGAGATGCTGGCTGATCTTTGAACTTCAACATCCACATCGACATTACCTCTGAGGCAGTAGTTCAGCACTTCTTATCTCAACTCTCCACCTTAAGTTTCTCAAAGGTATTCTTCAGGCCTGAACAGAGCCAGCTATACTTTGGACTGGACCTCTAGGCTGCATGTGGACAAACACAAGAACCACCTCTCTATCTGTGGACCACTTCATAATCAAGGTGGAAGCAAGAATTTTTTTCCCATGCAAGACAAAAAGACCACCATCATGGTCCCCCAAAAATCAAACCTTAAAATCTACCCCCAAAAAGTCCAAGGAGTAGAACTAACAAGGAATTTCAACCATTCACTACTGCTATAGATACTACCATTTCTCCCACCACATGCTGCCATAGATCATCATTGTTCTGATGACCAGTCACAAAAGGAAATGAAAACCTGAATACTGGGGGTAGGAGAAAACATCAGCTACAGACTGTCTCAATCACATCAGTGGCATTCTGTAGTTTTATAGAAGTCGTATTAATTTTTTTCTGTCCTCTGCCAGAGAGGCAACAATTGCACACCCTGCTGGAGCATAAATCGCTTAAATTCTGACTGTCTGCATTCAAGCCCAGAACACGTCCTCTCCTAGTAGGAGGAATTAGCTTATGTCAGCAGAGGCTGACCTCAACCAGGTTAGTCTCCGACCACCAAAAAAGGTAGACAAATGCCTTCCCAAGAATTTGGACCATTCACTGCAAGTATCAGCTGTGGAAGAATTAGAAGTCAGGGTGGCTTCTAATCTTTCAAGATATGAAAGCAAGCTAATCAAGAGCAGCAAAAAATACACAATGGCACTTTGAGCTGCCAGCATCCTATATCCCTCAGGTGGGCTTCAGACTTCAGCAAGGTACTAGTAGGTAATATTCCACCCATAGACAAGGAAAGAATATCCACATTCATTCTGTTGGACCTCTCTGCAGCAGTTGGTGACAAACAAATATCCCTGTATTGTCCCCAAGAACATACAGGATGAAAGGAAACCCCTGAAGTCCTTCTCCTGGGACCCTCCCCCCCTTCAGACTGAACCCAGAGAACTGATATAGGCAACTATTTCTTCCTGACCCTTACCTAGAGTCCCAAAATACCAGATCCTAACCCCCACATGAAATAGATACATGAGAAACTGTTGGGAGAATGGTTGAGACAATCTGAGTTGAAGTGCCTGTGATATGTAGATTACACCCAGCTCTACATCTTCCAGAATTTTCAATACCTCACTGAAACAACATCTGGATTAAAAATAGTTTGTTAAAACTGAACCTTGTAAAAACTGAGATGATGCAGGCTGAAACAGGGAAGCACTGCAATTGAACCTTATTCCCTTACATCTTCAACTCCTGAGAAAATTTGCCCTCAAATTAAGACAGTCAATAACCATTTGAATCCCTCTAAAAGCTAGTAGCTCCCGTGGCAAAATGCCTATTTAACTGACCAGAAGACTGTCCCATTTGAATAAGAGACACACCTGGCTACTTTGATTTATGTATTAATGCCTAGATAAGTTTCAAAAATTGAAACTGTGTGGCTGAAGCCAGATACCCTGAAATGCTTCACCTGGCAGAAAGCAAAGCAAAACATATTCTGATGCCTTTCTCTGTGTTGGCATCCCATTCAAAGTCCCCAGATGGGAGTGGCACTAGCTACTGCTCCCCCTCCATAACTGTGATATGCTGTAATAGCTGTTCCATCAGAACAATGTAATGGTCCACCCACAGGATGTGGCTTATTAATACAGAAGATAGAAGCAGACTCCAGAATTCATTGATGCAAGAAAATTACCACAGAATTAACTCTTTCACAAGTAAAGTCAAAATCCATTCCTTGGACTTATCTTGCCTTCTATTTCTTTATTTATACTCTCAACCACCTACACAAAACCAGCTATTTCTCTATAGGCTAGGAAGAATAAGACAAAAGTGATACTACTGTGAGTGTTTTATAAATATTTGCAAGGTGACTGGATACTACAGTTGTGCAGTCATTTAAAATAGGTATTGGGGATTAAGGATAAGGCACAACACATATGTACATGTAAGTGTCCTTCGCTTACCTCATGTTCTAGGAACAAGGCCTTCAGCTGGCCTTTTGACCAGTAATCCAGTGCATATGCAAGAAGCTTCATTGACAAAGTGTTCACACGCAAAAAGTTACCAACAAAGACAACTCTGCTTATTTTCTAAAAAAGGAAAGAAAACAGTACGAGTGTTATGACAAGTTTCTTCACTGTCCAGTGTGGCTTTAACAAGCTAGGACGAGAAGAAAACAGGTTGTCACAAAAAGGTTTAAATATTGAACGCTTCAGAGTAGAGGGGAAGAGTACAGACCCTTAAAACAAAAGATCGAGACTCTTACAGAAAAACTACTGTAATGTCATTTGAAAAATACCTAAGTGAGGATTTCAAACCACTGATATAGCCTAACTAAAAGTCCAACTAAATCAAACATACTTATTCTTGGTAGAGCAAGACTTAATGCCTTCATAGCCCTGTACAATGCTGCTTGATCCATATGCAACAAGGCAGCACTGTAAAGAAGCCGAAGACAATGAGACATTCCATATGTTCATTTCTTCTTCAGCTGTTAATGAATGCATGGTATAAGTCAATTAGAAGTGAGACTCCAGAGTTGACATTTAATATGTACTTTTAATTTTGTGTAGTTTAAGAATTTTTTCAAAATTTTCATTGCATTTTCCAGTTATGGGGACATTGAAGTTGAAAATAAAGCTGACACTCACTGATAGCAAGATTAAGCTCCAATAACTGAAGAGTCTGAGAATTAAAAAACACAAGTATGCTTTACTAAAGTTCTAACAAATGACTGTGAATATTCACATCCAAATTGTTCCAGAAACTTGTGCAGTAGGACAGCCACTATCTATACTCAAAGGACTGACACTTGTCAAGATAAAGGTGCGGGAGGAGCAGACAAGTTCATAATTTAAAGGTACAGAAATGCAGTTAAAGCACCCAAACAACCTTATTCTGCTCTACAATGATGTGCAGGAAAAATAAAATCTACATTTCTCTATAAACTATGTTAATCTCAGACCACAGACCGTTTTAATAAAAATATTATGGTAATTACATAGTGTTAATACTGGACAGAGGTAGGAAAAATCTAAATACAATTAAGGTTGATTTTGATGCCTCAGCTATTTATTCCTTTACCTTAAGGTATAATAACTTGACATTCCTAGGTTCACTATGCTTGTAGGATAATGACAACATTCCTGTAATGTACTTTAGCATTAAGTTACTGGTATGTACTCTCAACCTTATCCCCTTCATAGATTATACTAGGGCTTGGGAGAAAAAAAAAAAAACCAAAACACACACCACACCCCACACCTTACTAGCCAGGGGCAGATATGAAAGAAGAGGGAAGGGGATCGCCAACCGTGATGTCAAACATAGCATCCAAATGCAAAACCCATCTTGCCCACCTCCTATGGTGGAAAGTAAAGGTCCTTGGATTTTTAATAGTGCTGTCCTGGAAGACTCCAAGCAGGGTCCATATTTCACACAGGCTTCTGGCTAGTAGGTGACTATTTAGGAATCTCCACTCTAGCTCAATTGCTGAAGCTGGAAAAAGCTTTCCTCTCCTCATCCAGAGCTTGCTGGTGAGGGGAGATGGGTTTCCACTATTATATACCTCAGCTGCCACATTTGGTCCTTTTATTACTAGTTTCAGTGTCTTCCTGTGTTGATCAAAGCTTCTTGGCTGTCCACTGCTGTATGGAGCTTTAAGTACCCATAATGAAAATGAACCTCAAGTTTATCCTGATGCTATCTGGCAAAGTTCTGAGAAGCAGGAGGGGTGATGGAGCTATTTCCATGCAAACTCAGGAAGAGAACACCAATTTCACATAAATTAACATTTCAAATATTAATTTGGAAATAATTAGAAGCATAACTTAAAAAAATTAGCTTAAATTCAGCAAAAAACAAGCTTTTTTCACCATCTCTGTTAATCAGAAAAAAAACGTTTTATTTGCCACTACAAAGTGAATTCTCAAGCCTTATGAACCTTCCCAAAGGTACTAAAAGTATTCTGACCTAATGCCAAGTTAACAGAACCAAACTGCCTCAGCTAGGAATTTGATAAAGTACTTGAAATGAAAAGTATTTTATACTACTCGTCCTCTCAATGACTGAAAGCCACCACACTACACATGAAATTTTTTGATTCCCCTCCCACAGCTCACCCTCCGACTAAAATCGTTTACCTCATTTACCGCACACATCCGTGCTATAGACCCAATATTATTGGTGATCGTGACCAGTGTAGCTCTAGCCAGGTCTTCTTTACTAACAGATTCTCTCTTCTCTTTGTAGATCATATTCCCAAAACTGGAGAGAGAAAAAAAATACAAAGTGATACATTTGTGTTTACAACAAGTTTAGAGTACAGTTTCCATGCTGTAGTGGAAATTACAACTCCTGTTTATCCTCAGTCTTAACTGACTCCCTTTTCAAATGATCATTGAACACAGTAATTTGACCACAGATTGTGGAGCATTAGGTATGTATCTGCATCCATTCCTTAAAAAGAAATATACTTCCTCCAAACATTTTAAGACAACAAGTCCCTATGAGTTAAATATCTTTCTGATTACCCTACAGAATTCCATGAAGGAACAGCTTAAATCACAGCTAAACAAGATTAGTCCACAGCACTAGTCAGAACAAGTAAAGATAATTCTGAGCCCTGACTGATGTATTCTGCAGCTTCTGAAAAGTTAGCCTTACTTCTTCACTAAACAAAACTATTTTGCTCCATTCTTGCCTTTAGGTGCCATTGAGAAAAAGATAACCAAACAAAAATTTCAAGTATAATAAAATAGCCCTGGGGATTTAAAGTGACTACATAATCATAAGAATCATACAAGTTTACTGATGCTGCCACAATTCTAATTTTCCTGGGGCTTAGGAATTCTGCCCTGCCGCTGGCCCTACATAAAGCAAGCAACTTCAGCTCATATACCTACTCAGTGTTTTGCCTAATCACAGCCTGTGGTCTCTTTCTGACAGAAGACACAAGAACCCTCACCCTGTTCATATGGAGTGGCTGAAGCAAAGCAGGGGAGAACATGGAATTAACAGCGCTGTTCCCCATCCCAAGCCCCTCTGAAATTAAAGACACTAGTAGTTTCAGAAGGAGGGAAAAAGTGGGTAGAGGAGGTATACAATAGACTCCAACTGAGGGCAAGTAAGAAAAATCAGAAGTAAGATCTCCCTGGGGAGGGACAGAACCTATTTAAAGAAAAAGAAATGCATGCAGTCATAGAAACAGTCAGTCAACTTTTTACTTCCAGCAGGACTGAAACTCATTATTTGTTCAGACTAAATGTTTAGTTTAGTTTTAAGTTTTAAGTTTTCTCATTCTCCAGTTTCATCATTCCTGCTTCCAAGAACATGGATGCTGCTCCATTAGCCTCCAACTAATGAGCAAGCTGAACAGTGAGCAGAGTAAAATATTAGCCTTCTGCCATTGGAGGACTGCCCAATTCTCAAATTTGCTGGTGGCATAATTACCCACCATCCTGAGACACGCCTAAGACTACTTTGCAATTATGAAATCTTGTGATAGACTAGCAACTGTGTTTGACAGAAGCTAAGGAAATAATTGCAATATGAATGACTGAATAATAAAGTAGTTGATCTGAAGGTTTAACAGAGGGAAGCTCTCAAGGTAGAATAAAAATCAAAAATAAACCATGAGGACTACTTTTCATTCCAGTATTCAAGTGGAGGATCTCAGCTCTTAGAGCTGACAAACAGTTGTAATTAATTTGTAGGAACCTAGAACTTTTAAAGTTGAAGACATGCCTCCATGGGTTCGCACTTATTAGTGACAAGCAGACTATATGCAGGCAGCTGGAATCCTGATCTTCAACAGTTTTGGCTATTCTTAAACTATGACAGCTTGTACTAGATTTGGTGGGTAAATTAAACCAATGACTACAATAAGATCACCAAAAATATTTTCCCAATTGAAGAGCTTTTCAATGTCCATTAGACAGCAAGTATAAAAATATAAGCATACTCAAAACTACACTAATTCATCTGGTGCCTGTTGAATGCTTCTGAAATGCTGTATAACTGAAAACAGTGGTTAAATCAAAATGCTTTGCCTGGGTACCTGACTGGTTAACCTAAAAAGGTATCAAAGTGAGGAAATAAAGCCCAGACAGGAAGAGCTGTTGTAAAATGGAGAAGAAAGTTGTCAGATTAAACAATTCTCTCAAAAAACCCAAACAGCCACTAAAAAGGTTTGGCAAACATTTTCATTAATTTTTATTTCCTCTTTCTATGCCTGATTACCCTTTGACCTGTGCATAGTCTATGCAGGAACTTGTTTTTTTTTTTTAAATCTACACTTGCTGTTTTTTAGTTTTTCAGGAATAAAATATTACATAGAACGGGACTGCTTTGGCATTCTTTCTACCTAGTAATCAACTACTACTATCTGATTTCAAAATGTTCAGAAAGGTTAGCTTTATATATTTTTAAACACAAAAGTAATTTAATTGAAATAGCAAGACTGCAAAAACTGTTCTGCTAATAGATACTGAACACAGGTTTCTTAAAATCTTAACACCTTAGTCTTAATAGACAAGAAGAGGTGACAACTATAATGAACTGTTAATGAGGAGGTAAGACTACGTTTTAGTCACAGGTATTTTTACAAAAAGTCAAGGACAGGTCACGGGCAGCGGACAAAAAAAATCACAGGCCCGTGACCTGTCCTTGACTTGTACTATATACCCATAACTAAAACTTGGGCCAGGGGGCCACGGGTGCTCTGGGGGGGTTACCTGGGACCCCGCTGATGCTGGGGGGGCGGGGAGAGGAAGAGGGGAAAACAAGCAGCAGCGCATGGCCCGGGACTGTTGCTGGTGGCAGGAGGGTTGGTGGAGCTGGCAGGCTCCCTACCTGGCTCCACACAGCTCCCCGGAAGTGGCCAGTATGTCCCTGCAGCTCCTAGGGGGAGGGAAGGCCAAGAGAACTCCACGTGCTGCCCCCGCCACAAGCTGCAGCTCTGCAACCAGGCTGGCAACCAGGCAGGGGCGGTGCAGAGAGCCCCCTATCCCTCTGCCTAGTAGCTGTAGGGACATGCCTACCGCTTCTGGGGAGGACCCCCTCACACCCCAAAGTAAGTGCTGCCCTGTACCCCAGTCCCCAGCCCCTTCCCACACCCAAACTGCACCAGCAGCGGTCAGTGTGACTGGCCCAGGGGCTGCCTGATCTGCTTGGGCAGCCCCAGAGCCAGCCTCACCGGCCACTGCAGAAGTCACGGAATCCGTGACTTCCATGAGAGATACGGAGCCTTAATTTAGTTAAATAAGTGAGTCTCTTGCTTACCTAGAGGCTACTGCCCATCCTGGCAAGGCAAAACGTTCATAGTCCCCTCCATAAATGTCCCGGACAAGCTTATCAGCATGTGTACTGTCCCCTTTGGATGCCATTTCAAGAGCTTCTTCAAAACTTTCACAGCCAGTCAATAAACTGCATAAACCCAGAAATGTCCCTCCACCTAAACTAATGAAAGAGGAAAAGAATGACTTTTAAACAGCATTCTCGTATTGTGCAACTAAGTAATCTATAAATGCATTCCTTCAATTAAAATACTGTTTTGTCTGCCTTCTTGCTCACAGCTTGGTATTGCTTAGCAAAGTCATCAGTTGTGAATCATGGCAACAACGTTTACACGGGTGTCAGCTTAAATGTGCACAAATATAATAAGATTTTGAGCTGCAAAGTTAAGTAAACTGTTTAAAAATAAATGTGTTTTTCCTGTTTCGAGAATTCTTTTGTGGTGCACCTAAGTTAAGGTACCAACATTCATACTTGCAATAAGTAAGTGAAATAGGTGTGAGTATTAAAGTGCCAGTGGGAGGGCAAACTCAGATGAGGATGCCCAGAAGCATCCACATCTGATCATTGGCTTCAGGTCCTTGTTCCTCTTTCTGCATCACTTCAGTGAACGCTTTCTCATTTTTCTCCAGTAGAGAAAAAAAAAAAAAAAAAAATTAAAAAAAAGCAAAAAAAAAAAAAAAAAAAAAAAAAAAAACGTTAAACCTAAAACCACACACTACTGATGATATTAGTCTCCTGTTGCAGACCACACAGCAGGAAAAAAAAACCTATATCGCCTTATTAGAGCCATGGAGATAGCTTACAGTTAATACTGCTGGTAATTAAACAGGACATGAAATCAGTTTATCAAATGGAAAAGACATGCAAAGAAGTTATTTGAAAGCTTAAGAAAATATCAGGGTCATTATTCCATACAAGAATCATAACTTAAGATTTCATATCACTACCTTGTTCCAGTCACTCTCTTATAGCTGTCTTTGGAATGGACTGCTAAAATACTGACTCCTGAACCAATGTTTACAACCAATAATGGGTATGGGTCATCCAGGTTAAAAGGCATCTTTTGGCATCTTTCCGGTTCTGAGGCATTTTCAAAGTAATAGCACTCTGCCTGGCCATTGAAACTGACAGAGTCTATATACAACAGGCCTTTGACAAGGCAGTCAAGCTCATCCAGTTTGTGCAACTGGAGGTTTCCAATCTGTGAAAAAGGAAAGGACAAAATTAATAGTTCATGAACTAAGTATGCTGGACATTTAAGTAAGCCCATCAGCACACTACTAAAGATGGATGATGTTAGCTTTCCATGCACTTATGCTTTAAGCCATTGTTCAAAAATTAGCTTTTTTTTGCTCATTTCAGACCAACAGCAGTTAGCAAACACCCAAAAATACCAAAGTATTTTATTAGTCAAAAATCACATTTGCAAACCTGTGTACCTTAAAAGGCAAAATGCTCATTTGTAAGATAACAAAAAAGAAAAAGTTCATGACTACTTAAATACTTAAACAATGCCCTATTTAACTTAACCATTACTTCAAGGATTGTAAGAAATCTAATCTGCAGTCTACCTGACTTCCGTCAATGTTTAATCTCAAAATGTTTCCTAATACAGAAACACTAATAATAGAAAAAGACATTTTATATAAAAAAAAAGTATCGTACTTAATACCTAGATGTCTCAACTCATTAATGTAATCTTTTAATTAAGATTTTTCAATCAGATCCATATTACTAATGCCAAATCTCATCTTCCTTTTTAAAAAAAAATATAATCTGATTATTAATACCACCAATAGAACAAGCCAGAAAGAATATTTCTGAGGTTACTGCATTTAACAAGTGAGTAGTTACTTCGCCTTTGCATGTCAAAGGCATGAAAAGATTGTCCAGAAAGACACTGCCTATCTTCTACTGATAAAATAGCTGTGACCAATTTTTTTTTGTTTTTTTAAACAGACTACAGTACTAGGGAAGGTAGGCTACCTACTGTGCGAAAATCTTCTTCAAACTTATAAGCACCGCCTCCAGTGGCACAAAGCACCGTGTGTAGTGTTGAAAAGTTTTTATTTCTTCCCATTTGGATAAAAGTAGGCAAGTCATGAGTTGGGAATCGAATAAAGTGCAAGTTTCCCCTTCGGCCAAAAAGCGTCAAGTCTTTCAGTTCAAGGTGGACATCTCGAATGCCAGTGGATCCATAGGCTATATTGGAAGTCAAATATTTGCGGATGCTCTTCAAGCTTTCAACTTCCTCCTGCTCCTCTTCTGCAGTGATATCAATAGGTTCGAAATATGCAAGTTTCACCAGTGTTCCCCCAATGTCCATGCCAAACCATGGAAAAGCTGTGGAGATGGAAAAAATATTCCATTAACATTGTTAAAAAGCCAAACTGACATCACTTAAATTGATATTACAAAGACTGAATACTCTGAACTAGGAAAATTAATGCTTTTTGTTTTCTTCAATGCTAGGGAGAGGAAGAATTTAAAGTTTGGAACCAGATAAGAAAAAAAAGTGAAGTTATTAGCCACTCCTTTGACGGTATCTTCGTAAAATGTTAAAACCAAAATACGAAGTAACTTATTCCTCTCCTCCCGACTTCATGTGGTCTCCCAAGCTAATTCAAATCCACTAACACAATGCTCGAATAGATGTACTGTATTCTACTCCCCACAGCCTTTTAAAGAGGAAGTTTACCTAAAATTTTCCAAGAACCATTTTCTCCTGACCATATGATACATTTAATAATTCTTTTGAGAAATAGGCACTTTTCAACTGATTTCTGAAGAAAGTACAATAGAACCAAGATAGCTAATTCCTGGTGGTGAAAAAGGAATGGTTGTATGGCTCTCGGAAATTGCAGAGTACTAGTGCCAAGTATGTGTATTTAAAAAAATATGCAAGATATTGAATGTTACTGAGTTTGGGTTCCAGCTAGTGTTTCTATACCTTTTTCTCAAAAAAGGGAATTTCTTGTATGAAAACAGAAGTCATCTTTGTTAAGAAACACTTCCAGGGCTACTGAAATACTGGTATTTTGTCTCAATCACATTTCCTTCCCTGCAGATGTTTGAAGTGACAGTGTGCAAAAAGATGATTTTCATTGTAGAAGCCTAAGCCATATAATAGGTCAAGATCACAATTGGCATATGCAGGCATCTAGTAAAATCAGTTTACAGAACTCTGTGTTGGAGAGGATGGTGTGTAGTTTCATCTAGTATATTCCCATTTATTGTGGCACAACTGATGTTATCCCTAAATAATCTCCAATAAATAGATTTCAAATCTAGCCCAAAGTAAGTCCGAAAATGACACTTTCACCAGCTCTTAAAATAGCTTGTTGCACTGTCTGTTACTATATTTGAAGTTCACAGCCTAATATTTCCTATTCTAAGAGTGTTCTCCCTATCTCTGACATGTATGTCTTTCACAAAAGGTATGGACCAAAGAGATTCTCCATGTCTCCTACATTGCTGCAAACTATTTTAACACAGTACCATATCTTTGGGTTGATATTGCATCATTTAAAAAGGTGGGAGGAAAGGAAGAAATGCTACAGAGGCCAATTGTGATTAAAACTGAACATACCTTGAAGTAAAAATAAAATTTAAAAAAAATCTTTAAATAGGAAGAAATTGGCTCAATTGTCCTTTGCTTTAAAACCCAGCAGAACCCCAGCAAAAGGTGATAATCATCATTCCATATTAGCTATAGATAAACCTGTTGACTACTGTGACTGGGACCAGGCTAAAACTCAGAACTCAAAGTCTTTCTACCTTCATACCTAAACAAACACAGAGTGAATGTGTGGGGGTGTAGGGAAGGACAGGAGAGAAGTCAATTTTCTTCAATGATTTAACTTCAATGACACAGATCTCAACAAATATCATAAAATAATTCTCTGGTTTTAGAAACATCTGACTTCCCAGCTGGACCTCCTGAATACCAAACTTGGAATCTCACATTTATTTCTCCAAGTGCATGCTGACTGGGACAATTAGCCAATTATTTTTTCCAAAGCTACTCAGAACAAGCTCTTCTTCTTAAGCTCAATTCAGATCCAGATTATACGGAACACTGGTGCAGGATTCGGGGGGGGAAAAAAAATGAATATGTCCAACCTGTCTAAAATTTAATTTCAAATTGTATCAGATTATTAGTGGTGGTGGTACGGAGATAACTGAATAGATACTACAGATGCTCCCGGACTTACGCAAGCGTTCTGTTCCGGAACGCCTTGTGTAAGTGGAACATATACCCGACAATTACGCAAAAAAAAAAAAAAAAAAAAAAGCTTACAGAACTTTTTCCGTAAGTGCGGATTTGCGTAAGTCGAGTTTGCATAACCCGGGGAGTATCTGTATAGAAAATTAGTCAACGCTTGCCTCAAGCTGTTTATATGTGTAAGATCATTAATGGCATGTTTTAATGGACATCCATGCAAAACTTGGAAGGGAAAAGGAACTTAAGAGTTGCTGTAGATCTGGAGAAATGGATTCTCATAGAACACTACCAGATGTTAGGGTATGTACAAGACAGGAAGAGAACCAGCCAAAACACAAATGATTTTTTTTTTTTAAAATGGTAATTATCTACGTGAGGGCCAATACTTGCACTTGGAAGTAGAAAGTTCCTATAAACGGTTGGGCATTGGGAGAAAGGATTCCTCCCGCTCCCTGACCTCCCACACAGATGTTCTACAAGTTATTTTCATCTGGGAAGCTGAATTTTTGTTGGACCTTTCTCCGAGAAGCTAGCACCATGTTTTTAAGTCTAGGTAATGTTTCAGTACATTGCAACTAATTTTAGTACTAGTCTAGCAATGGTTTCTGTAGTATTAATAACTCTGAATGTTTAAATATCTTATATTATTCTATTTCTTTAAGATATCCAATAAAAAAAATTGAACTCAGTTTCATTTTGCTAGTAACTGTCTCCACCTAGCAGTTCACCTATCAGGTACCATGTTCTTTGGCATCTTAAAGAAAAAATAAGTGAGCAGGTAACCGCCTATGAAACCGTAGACTCATGAGTCCATAACTTTTGATACACATGAAGAATTTTTTAATTTTAACATATAGATGCATGCTTGATTTGCAGCTCTACTCCAGATTTTAAAAGGTTTCTCATTTTATTAGCCAGTAGCTCTTTACTCAAGTGAAGACTAGAAAGGGGAAATTTTATTTACCCAATAAACCAGAAAGGGTCCTTGGGAGTTGTTTTAATCCATTCAGTAAATATGTAATTGGGACTTTAAACAAAATACAAAGGATCCTTTCTGCTCTATGGAGATATTATGTAATTAAGACATGTTCTTTTGCTTGTTTGTCACCCAATAATTGTGAAAGAATCCCCTGCATCTGCACAGTAGATACTTCTGATTTCAGCTGTTAATGTTTAAAGTTTGTGGAGAGAGGCCCGGGACTAATTTATGAAATTAGACACCTACCAGTCTTTGGAACTTTAATCTGATTTACAGGAACAAGTTTATGCTTCTTGGATACCCAATAAAAAACAGGCACAAAGCAAAAACAAACAAACAAACTGTCATAACTATAAAGGGAAGGGTGGCAGCTCTCCTGTGTACAGTGCTATGGAATTCCTCCTAGCCAGAGACTCCAAATCCTTTTACCTGTAAAGGGTTAAGAGGCTCGGGTAACCTGGCTGACACCTGACCCGAAGGACCAATAAGGGGGCAAGATACTTTCAAATCTTGGGGGGGGGGGGAAGGCTTTTGTGTGTGCTCTTTGTTTTAAGGGGTGGTTCGCTCTTGGGACTGAGAGGGACCAGACATCAATCCAGGTTCTCCCCATCTTTCTAAACAAGTCTCTCCTATTTCAAACTAGTAAGTAAAAAGACAGCAAGGCGTCTTAGATTTACTTTGTTTTCTCAACTTGTAAATGTACCTTTTTACCAGAGTGTGTATCTTTGTTTGCTGTACTTTGAACCTAAGACAGAGGGGGGTCCTCTGAGCTCTTTAAGTTTGATTACCCTGTAAAGTTATTCTCCATACTGATTTTACAGAGATGATTTTTACCTTTTTCTTTAATTAAAAGCCTTCTTTTTTAAGAACCAGATTGATTTCTCCTTGTTTTAAGATCCAAGGGGGTTTGGATCTGTATTCACCAGGAGTTGGTGAAAGGAGGGTGAGAGGAAGGAGGGGGGATGGTTAATTTCTCCTTGTTTTAAGATCCAAGGGGGTTTGGATCTGTGTTCACCAGGGAATTGGTGAAAGGTTTCTCAAGGCTTCCCAGGGAGGGAATTCTTGTGATGGTGGCAGCGGACCAAAGCTAAGCTGGTAGATAAGCTTAGAAGTTTTTATGCAGGCCCCTACATTTGTACCCTAAGGTTCAAAGTGGGGATACAGCCTTGACACAAACAAACAAACAAAAACAGTTGAGGGAAACAGAGAAAGCCAGCTCACGATGAAAAACTTCCCATTTTTCAACTTGGAACATTTTTATGCCAGTGTTATCCAATACAGCTTTCTTTTGGGGGTAACTGCTCACTATTGGAAGGAGGGTATTCTTGACACCAAATTACAGAATTTAGAGAAGGGTCAGATTTTTTGCTTCTACCTCATGTCAGAAGATGATAGAACCCTAGCACATAGTTAAGTTAGTTCTGGTCAATAGGTTTTAAAAGAAATTTGAAAAATTTCTTTTATTTGTGAAAAGGTTGCAACCTTAACATAGGGAGGTTTTTGGGGGTTGTTTTACTGCATTTAACATGCAAAATGCCACTAGTTCACTATTTATATTAGAACTAAGAAACGTAGGTGAGAACCTTTTTCAAAGAGGTTTCTTGGTTATATAAACCATAATAATTTAGTTTATATGAAATTTTTCCCAGGAAAAACAACAGCATTTTGATTTCTTACTAAGTGGGTTATATGCAGGGCACTGTAGGAGCCAGCTGTGCACAAGCTGTTATTTTTCAGGTGACCTTGACAGTGACAAAATAGGATAATGTATCCAGGTTTACCAATCCTACAATAGGTCTCTAGAGCTGTAAGCAGGCTAGAGCTAGAACCAGACTGTTAAAAAAACAAAACAAAAAACAAAACACCAAAACAAACCCTATTCCTGAAGGGCCAACTAGTTGAGATAATTTCCATACTACTGTACTAGTTTAAAAAATACTGTGCAGAGCAGTAACAAGAGCAGAGAGAGTCTTTGTAATCTTTTCTCACTCTTGAATCCCTCACTCAGTAGAAGTTGCCTAAGGTGGGCTCAATATGTGTATCTTTATTATGTGAAAGAAAATACAGGTAAGCACATATACATTTCCCCTTCACAGAATCTCGCTGTGGGTGCTGATCAATCAGCAAGATTAACATAAG